CGCGGCCATCTACTGCTTCAGGTTGCCACAAGCTTGAATCTCATAACGGAGACTATTTTGTGGTCATCGATTGAAAGGTATGGTTTTAATTCAACTACTAATTACCCGATGATTTAATTGGTTCTGAAGAGCCCGTGGGGACTGAGACATTTGGTCGGATAAATCATAGACTGGTTACCACCTTCGTAGGCTCCGAAGAAGGCGAAAATCACCGCAACGTTAGCCGACGGAATTGTAGTATTTAACCCAGTGCTCTGTTTGAATAAAGTTGTAGAATCATGCCAAGAACCGAACATGGAGACTACTTAAGAACATTGTTTCACAGAAAAATCACTGGCCAAAGTTTGATGAGAGCGTGTAGAAGTACCTGTTCTGCACGACTCTACAACACTCTTACTGAATACTGCAAATGCTCACTGAATTTCCCAGTAACAATGGCTGGTATGAGGACGTTTCCATCTTCGTTAGTAATATACCATTTTCTATATGAAGACTGGAGCAGGGCATTGTAAGCCCTCCTAAAATAGGAGGAACACCGATAGACGTTGATGGGAAAGATGACAAGCTGGCTTCAGAACTATGGGAACATACGTGCCATTCTCTTGGAGATTCCAAAGTTGCAATATGTCTCCTTTCTCGGGATTATTGGAGATGACCTCCGGTTTTGCCTGAAGTATCTCATTAAGATTCTATAATGAATGTTTTTTTCACTGTGGTTTTGTGAATTATTCTTTCCTTGTACAAGCCTTCGAAACGTTTCTTTTCATGCTCTGATGTGTAGAAATTAGAAAAAGATCAATTTGCTCCCTTAATCCCCCACAGCCTTTTAGCTTGTCACAGCGTTGTTTAACACAGCTAGTTGGGAACTTTTCTGGAGAATTTCTCGAAAAAGCTATTTTCTGCGGGTGTGATCAGCATATAACTCGAATAGTTGATTACTCGACGGGCCGCACGCGGCATTGTCTGTTCGAAAAGAGACGTACATACATACATATGTAGGATGCGATAGGAGCTCAAAACCGCCCCAGTGGTCTACAGTCGCCTAACATGAGCTAGCTGAGACGTTTCCAGTGGCTCCACAGAGACTTATTCGACTGGGGCATGTTTGTTGTAAATAGAGTCAGCTGATTCAAACTGACAGTTAATCCACATTGCCGTGCAGCTACTGAAATCTCGTCCGAACACCCCTTCGTCATCGCCACCCGTCCAATAACAAAAATTCAGGAATTAGTAGATTAGTCCAAACACGCCTTACAGTTCGCAATTTCTGCTGATTTTCTCATCTAATTCGTCATCGATGAACTATTCTGCATTAACACCTCCATTTCGCACCTTACTCAAAAGACAAAAAATTGTCCCAGTAGAGCCTCTGAATTCTACTGCGAATATTCACTGCGGTATGAGAAATACAGTATGATACTAACTCTTGTCCAAAACATTGGAACAACAGCAAATAAGGCGAGAATGTGCACTGATGTTGTTGCGAAGAACATCTGTAATTTGTTGACTCTTAGGCACAGACAGCACAGTCTCCAACTTCTCTCTTGCTTTAACCTCGGCATAGATGTTTCTAGTTACAATATTCTTGTGCCGTACGAGGTTGTTAGGTGGAACTTTTATTAGTCACAACGGCCTAACGTTTCGACGTTCTCGTCGTCTTCAGAGGTCTAAAGCAATTCGAGACATTTGCACAAAATCCAAAAAGCGCATTACCTTCTGGCGAATGTGACGGCAAATTCAAAACCCATAATTTGAAACATAACTCACCAAGGTTCCACCGCTCAAGCGGAATAAAATCCGCTGTCGCCACAAGCGACTGTCAGTAGCGAATGAGACTTATTGGCTGTCTAAGAGGGTAATGAGAGACAGCCAATGAGTCTCATTCGCTACTGACAGTCGCTTGCAGCGACAGCGGATTTTATTCCGCTTGAGTGGTGGAACCTTGGTGAGTTGTGTTTCAAATTATGGGTTTTCAATTTGCCGTCACATTCGCCAGAGGGTAATGCGCTTTTTGGATTTTGTGCAAATGTCTCGAATTGCTTTAGGCCTCTGAAGACGATGAGAACGTCGAAACGTTAGACCGTTGTGACTAATAAAAGTTCCACCTAACAACCTCGCATGGTACAAGAATACTGTAACTAGAAACAGACAGCATATTTAGTTTCATGAATATTGTGATACTTATAACATATGTAGATGGGCTTTACTGGAAATAGTCGTTCACAAC